GCCAACTGGGTATCACTGCACATTCAACTCATTTTTCTGCAATTCTTTGTTTTCCTGTGTCAGGTACTTTTATAATGTCCTTCCACCTTTCTGGTGGGGGTAATTATTTTTATGTAAAAATAATACTACTATATAAACTAATGATGGTAAATATTCTGATACACTGTAAAAATAATACTACTATATAAACTAATGATGGTAAATATTCTGATACACTGTAATATGTATCTATGAACAATGATATAGGGATAGTTTTATGTTAGATAGATGAATTTATAAAATTTCAAGAGATGAAAATATATTATTAATAAAAAATATTTAAAATATATATCCGGTTGATTCTTATGTTTTTCTTGCATGTACACTTTTGGTTTGGTTCAAGGATGTTTCTTCCACCTAAGCTAAGCTACCAAAAAGCTTTACTTAATTTCATAATTTGTATGAAAATAAACAGTGAGAGAGACAGAGATGGAGCTTGTGAAATTAAATAAGTCTTTCCCTTAACATTCAACTTTTCTCTCACAGTTCCACAATCTGCGAGGAAAAACATAACTTTTTACAAATATTCAACCCAGAGAATGTTCATAATTCCAAGGCCTAAGTTAGAGTCACTAACGACTAATTAATTAAACGCAAAATCCAAATTGATGGGGTTCAAGATCAAGATGCACATTGAAGAATGATGTTAAAAAAAAGAGAAACAAGCTATAAAATATATATGGTGCCATGCTTCTCTTTGACCATCTTTCTCCAAGACAATGGCAGGCCCGCCTTTCATCTAAGCATAGATGTAAGAGAGCGAAAAACTACTTCTTCACAAGGGATAGTGAGTCCCATATCATGATCGAACCCGAACTCTTCTTCGGCTCGTCGAAGCAAGCATTGGAACTCGGGGATTGTCAGGAACGAGATCGGGACGATGTATCGGCTCCTGTTTTTGCCTACGTAAACAACAAAGTGACCTTTCGTTACGTCGAGTGGGAGACTGTCGTCGTCGTACCCGTGTTTCTTGCCTAGGCTTGAACATCTCTTCAGGATCTGCTTCAGAACTGCGGTTTGAGGCAGTTTGGATGGTTTTCGAATTGCCATTGCTGTTGTATGTTGAAATGCTTCAGCAAGAGTTGTTATGGGAGGATTGATAGGAGAGAATGGAAGGTTGTTTATTTATGGATAGAGAGCCTGAGGAGTCATGTGGGACTGTGGGGGCTAAGCCGAAAGGGACAACCTATAGGTGTTATTCGGGGTATGTATGACATCATGGACCCTCTCACCCAATTAACTAACCTCTAATGTTGATATCGTAGATTTAAATAACGATCGCAACTTGATCATGATAAACACAACACAATTTCGATATACATGTGGACCGGTAATTAGTGTACCAGAGAGTACTATACAGCGGTTTGGTTGGTTTTGGCACAGGGGCAGATGAGGCTTTTTTGTATGTGGTCCTGATGAAATCTCCACCACTTAAATAGGGAAAATATTTATAGTTTTTTTAGAGACATTTATTAATTGGTATACTTCAAATGTGACTCACCATTGATATCTTCCTAGCCTAGCTTGGTTCCATTTTCTAAGGCTCACAAAGTGTTTCAAAATGGCTAGATATGTCTGATACGGCAATGTCCCTTCTTTTTTTTTTGCTTTTTGTTCTTTCCTATACATTGGTTAATTTGAAGGTTTTGATGGATATGCCAACTGGAATTCCACTAATACGCAACTTGAAGTTCCATTTTTTTGTAGTACTAATGACATTGTTGTCTGAGAGATCACTGGTGGATTTACAGTAACAACAAGGAACAAAAGCCTACAGCAAACAAGTTACCCCATAGGTCACAATCTATGAAAGACACTCCCATGTTCTGTGAATGAGATTGGGTGGGAGAGACAATGGTTGAAGAAACAAGCAGGAGACGAGAAAGGCCCACTGTCGATCTCTCGAAATACGGTGCTTTGGTTGAGCCAAGGTAGGTCTCTTTTATGGGTGAAAAGGACTTTGGGTTTTGTTCATCACATGAAGGCCATGTTACTCTTGCCCCCTCAAGCTCTCCAGGAATCTTTTACCAGTCCCTTAAGTCGCGTTTCGTCCCTTTACCGGCCACTTCGAAATGTTTCATTTATGATCTGCATGCAGCAGAACAATAAACACTCGTTGGCCATTATTTGATCCCAATAAATCAGAAACCTGAACAGGTAGCCTGCGATTGTATCATAAATATAAAGAGCTTCCAGGAGCATTTAACTCGGTAAAAACTGGTGTTTTTTCAAAAGACTAGAAAGTGCATGTCACACTCACAGTTAGATTACTATTCCATCACGTGCCTTTGCTGCAAAACCAATTTGTTCTGAAAGTGTCAAAAATTACACGACTACTAAAGATTCACCGGTCGGTGCAAGATTTGAACTGTTGATTCTGCCCCGTCAATCACGCTAATATGTCGTCCGGGCTTAGCAATACGAGCTTGTACCTACGAATATAATGAAGATGTAGAAATATTCGAATTCCTTCACATTTCTGAGTAGTAATGAAACAATCCATTTCGAAAAGATGTCGGTGGACGAGTTCGAAGAAGAAAACAAACTATGACTGTGGATGCTGAAAAAGTAAACATTCTTAATGATTCACATTCTATAGATATTATGAAACTCATCCTATGTAGTGCCAAATGAAAGGATTGATGCCCAACCAAATGTAGAAAAAAAATTTAGCCAAATCGAAACCCACAGACATTTGTGCCTCCTGCTTTCTTATGGATCCATACTCTATACTTACACAGATGATTTCAGAATAGAACCTTGTCTGTTTTTCTGGTTTTGTAAATGAGTAATATGAACTGAACAATGGATTTAACAAGAGGAAATTCGAGAATAGAACCGCTGGCGTTTGTTTTTATAAAATTTCTCAGAAGAGTATACATTTCATCTCTTTCTGCCAAAACATACATCACTGGTCAAAGATTGTATCATCTGATTAAATTGTTTTAGCACTAGGCAACCACTGGAAGATTGAAGTAGTTGCGGATCCAGAAATATTTTTTTAGGGTGGGACAAATATGTTAACGACATAAAATTTTTAAATGGGACGGTACAAATAAAATTTCAATATGGACACCACCCGTAAAATAAGTAACTAATAGAAGAAAACTCATATTTCAGGGTGGACACAAAAATTTCAGCGTGGACACCATCAGTAAAATAAGTAACTAATCGAACAAAATTCAGATTTTACCCTGACCAAGCCGTGGCTCCGCCACTGGCTTGAAGTGAGATCAAAGAAGACCTCTTCTCTGCAAGGAATTGTAACACCACCCAATTGAACGGTTTCATATTCGGTTTGTATTCGTTCAAATTTTTAGCATGGTGTTTGTTTTCTCTAAACCCTAAATCTCAAACTCATTTATTCATTTTTTAAGGTGTTAGTGTTTGTTCGTCTCGCATTCTAAAACATGTTAATTTAATGTCCGTGAACATATTAGTTTAACTTTCATAAACATGATCATATAATGTTCATTTAAATTTTCAATATCGTGTTCGTGCACCCTAAACCTTAAATCTTAAACTCGTTTATTTATTTTTGAAAGTGTTTGTATTTTTTCGTTTAGCGATTGTGAATTTATTCGATTAATGTTTATGAACATGTATCATTCGTAAACATAATCATTTAACGTAGGTTTAATGTTGTTGAAACGGATAATAAAGAAGCTTTAGACGCAGTTGTCTACGGTAGAAGTTTGAATGATGGCTCGTCAATGTTTTAGCTTAGAAGTTCGAATGATGGCTCGTCAATGTTTTAGCTTTGGTTCTCTTACTTTCTTGGGTAGTTATGCTGTACGATAACCTACATATACGGTTAAGGATAGACCCTACTGGAAATGTTAATATTTTTTTAACATTTAAGTAAAGCGCTACTTAAAATATTATTTTTTACCGGAAATGTTAATTTCGCTATCTAATTTCCGGTAGAACAAAAACATTTTAGGTAGCGTCCAATATTAACATTTCCAGTAGAAAAAATAATATTTTAGGTAGCGTTTTATCAGAAATGTTAAACATTTTAGTTAGCTCCCAATATTAATATTTTCGGTAGAAAAAAATAATATTTTAGATAACACTTTACTAAAAATATTAAAAAATATTAACATTTTCGGTAATGCATTTCCGTAGCCGTATCTTCGACATTCCTACTTTATTATATATATATATATATATAAACAAAGTATTAGTCAACCAACACTTTATTTTTTATCCTTCTATTTGCAAGCCAAAACAAATTGTGAAATTACACAACTAGTTCTTGATTTCTCTAGGCTTCATATTTTAAACTTTAAAAACTCACCCTATGGTAATTTAGTTTCTACCTTCAATATTTAAAATATAAATAACAAAAGTAAAAAGATAACCTAATAAACGAGCTTATAAATAGGGACGGAGCCACCCTTTGTCTCAGGGTCACTGCCCACCATTTTTTTATTAAAAAATATATGGGAAAATAATAAATTAGAGACCCAAATTTTAGTTTATTTTGATTTTACCCAATCATTTTCTATAGTTAATTATATTTTACCCCTCATTTTTTATGAATAATTATACTTTGTCCCCTCAAATTGGAATCCTGGCTCCGTCTTTGGTTATAAACGATTCAAAAAACGAACTCATATGCAAGCCAATAAACGAATTTGTTCATGAACATAAACGATCCAAACGTGCATATGTTCATGTTTTTCGTTTATTAAATGAAAATAAATATTTTATTCATACTAATTTGTTTAACTTAATAAATGAACATAAACGAGTATTTACACCCCCTATATAGACTACAGTATTTTGAATACCTTGTGTAACTAAAATTTTTATTTTTTTTAAATAATAATTAGTGGGCTTGTGCATGTTTCCTAAAGACGTCCCAATAAGTTGAACTAAAAATATGAAAGGTCCAATATAAAGAAGCCCAGATGATTCTAGTTAATTCTCGATCTTTCCTGTACTGACACAAGTACCAGAAAATACCAGATTCCTCTTAAGCTTCTTATAAATACCCAACTCTTCCACTGATTAGCATCAAGAAAGCATCACCAAATATTCACTATTAGCTATAATCTTTCGTGTTCAAGTTGTCTTTGTTTCGTGCTTTTAAGAGAAATGGCGATGATTCCGAGTTTGTTCGGCAACCGAAGGAGCAGCATCTTCGATCCATTCTCGTTTGATGTTTGGGATCCAATCAAGGAATTTCCTTCACATTCTTCACTCACCAGCAGCCAAACCTCCGATGCCTCTGCATTCGTCAACGCCCGAATCGATTGGAAGGAGACTCCAGAAGCTCACGTCTTCAAGGCTGATCTCCCTGGGCTTAAGAAAGAACAAGTGAAAGTGGAGATTGAAGAAGACGGTGTACTTCAAATCAGCGGAGAGAGGAATGTTGAGAAGGAAGACAAGACTGATACTTGGCACCGGGTCGAACGTAGCAGTGGGAAATTCAAGAGGAGATTCAGGCTGCCTGAGAACGTGAAAATGGATCAAGTTAAAGCTTCCATGGAAAATGGGGTTCTTACGGTTACTGTTCCCAAGGTGGAAGTGAAGAAGCCTGACGTCAAAACCATTGAAATTTCTGGTTAAGTACTCTCTGTCCTGAGGCTACTATAACAAAGGACTCTTTCTTTTCATGAATTTTGTTTATGATGTATGTGTATAATTTCAGTCAAAATATATTCCCCAAGCATTTTATTTCACATTCTGCCATTATTGATTACTTAATCTATTAGACGGAGTCCAATAGTTTTCAAGTTTTATAAATTATAAATATTTATATTTATATTATAATTATTAATTTTACCTTTACATGGTAAGAGAAAAACTAAAATTAAAATTCTCTCAGTCCTGGTTGAAAACTGTTCCATGCATTAAGAATGCCTATTTGCATGGAAATTCACCTTATTTCCATACAAATTTAATAAATAAATGCGTGGAATTTCGAAAATAAATTATCCTCGGTTTAATGTATGGGTTTTTGGATTAACCTAATTCATATGGATCTCTGTAGTCTACATTACAAGAGTGGTTGGTGCTTCTGTTCAACCAACTGCTTAAAAGGCTTTCCTCAATTGTTGAGAGCACGAATTAAACAATGTCACATGGATTGTCAATTAGTTTGTTTCTGATCTATTTAACTCTTCTATTCTAATTATCAGGAAACATGTAGGGCTTTGCATACCCACAGGTTTTGCTGGTCACCACTCGACTATTAATTGGCATTTCATCCATATGATCTGCTGAGCTAATGTTATTATCATCTGATTAATAGTATTTCAAATTGGTTCCATTGAATGTTCAGCTATGGTAGATTTGCAACAGACTGAACTTAGTTAGCAAACTTGTCAAAACGTTACGGTCAGTTGGGAAGCAAGACCATGTGATTCCCCAAACCATATATCTTCTAAAGATTTCTGCATTGAAATTTCTTCTGGACCACACATTCAGCCTCAGATTTCTTGACCAATAAACCATTTTCTAACCCTCTTTATAAGTACACATTCTAAGGACAATCCCTCACTGCCAAAGCCTTCCCAACCAAGCTACATACATTTCTTCTACCCACCATAAGTGAAAAGAATCCACATTCATCACAAAGTCATGGGTTTTCGCTTGCCGAGAATTGTTAACTCCAAGAGTCTGAAACAGAGTCTTTCCTTTCGGGAGACGAAAACGGTTCCCAAAGGCCACTTTGTTGTTTATGTCGGAGAGGCTGATGAAAAGAAGAGATTCGTTGCCCCGATTTCATTTCTGAATCATTCTTCCTTCCAAAAGTTGCTAAGTGAAGCTGAAGAAGAGTATGGATTTAATCATCCAATGGGTGTTCTAACCATCCCCTGCAGTGAAGAAGCCTTCCTTGATCTCTTTTGCTGTTTCAAAAGCTCATGAAAGTTAGATTTGGTAACAGCTAACCAAGCAGAAACAAACCATTTTGTTTTACACAGGAAGGGAGTGTAATTGGTGGATTGTTTTATGCAACCCCTTGCACTTGCGAAGTACAATTATTTTTTGTAATCATTCTTTAAATGAAAAGCAACAGATCTCTTTACCAAACATATTCCTGTCATTGTATTTTTGCTCCGACTATTTTTATGTTAAATCTAATTTGGAAGCAAAAGAAAATTAAAACCCAAATGTTGGACATTCATGGATTACTTATTCATCAACGAGTAATGAGTACTAACCCTTAGAAGTATGAAGAATCTGCTTAGATTGCATGATTCTAGGCACACGGATAGCCATTGCTGTTAATAATTTGGAGCATAAAGTTTGATCAGAGAAAACAATAGAAAATGAATGATAAGATTTTCTTTTAGGGAAGAGGATGTGAGAATGCTTTGCTGTGGTGATGGAAGAATGTATATAGGAATCTAAGAAAAGTTACAAACGAGTCCATGTTATATAGGCGAGTTCATTGGAACCATAGTCTAAAGTACTTTCTCATATAGAATGTTCCTGTCTAGCCTAATAACATGCCATCAGAGTATAAGTCTATGACAGCAAAGAAATAGGTAGCAACAACAATATTCCTAAAATGAGATGTTTCTAATCGGACTGAGATATTGGAAAACTATTTTTGTAAGGAAATAAGTTAAATTTCCATGCAAATAGACCCTGTTAATGAAGGATCCCGATTTAACCAGGACTAATATATTGTATGTTAAGTGATAGATGACGGTAGAATTTGAAATAAAAAGCTTCAGAACTTAGAAAATAGAGTTTGGCTGAAATTATCCATATATGACATCAGAAGCAAAATTCATGAGAAAAAAAGGTTTCTCTGAAATAAATTTCGCATTTATACTTTGGTTACAAATATTAATAAGGTTGTCAAGGGCAGGGGATTGCAGAAAACATCCACCTTACACGCTTCCTAAACAATAAAAATTTAGGAGGTGTCAGTAGAGCTAATTATCAGTCGATCTCTGCTTGGTTGGCCAATTTTCACATCAGTTCTTCTCATGAGCTTTGCAAGTTACAAATGAGATCTACGAAGGCTTCTTCTCCACAAGGGATTGTCAAAGCACCCATAGGGTGACCGAAACCAAACTCTTCTTCGGCTCGACTCAACAAATTCTGAAATGAAGGATGCTTCAGTACTGAAATCGGGACAACGAATCTCTTCTTTTCAACTTCTCCAACATAAAGAGCAAAGTGGCCTTTGGGCACCACTGTCGTCTCTGAAGATGAAAGAGTCCATTTCAGACTCGGCTTAGCATTAACAATTCTTGGCAGGCGGAAACCCATAGTTTTTGTAAGATTGTTAAGATGAGTAAATGAGAATGTGGAATTGGAACTTAGAAAAATAGATAGGAAAGGTTTGGCACAGGGTGGAGCTATCCATTAGAATCTGTATTTATAAAGAGCAAATGCTGTATACGGTCAGCTGTCTCACTCAGGCTAATTGAGTGGTGAAGACAGATTGCTTTGGAGACATAAATTGGGAAGAATCACATGGTCTTGCATCACAAAAAATAACAATAATTAACATTTTGATAAGTTCAAGCCTGTAGGACAAACTTCAGGTACTCTTCACAAGGGCTTGTCCTATGAGCTACTACAACGAAGGAACACATGCCAATGTTTGGCTCTTGGACATGTTATAAATTTATGATGTTTATTTGCCTTTAGCAACTTAATGACGTTGACTTAGCAGATCAAAAGCCTTGTAGTTGAGTGGTGACCAGCAAAATGAGTCGTTATGGAATGCCCTACCATGTTTGCTGGTAATTAAAATCAAAGATTCATAAATCAGAGCTGCTTGCTTGTTTGTTCTATGACTGTGTTGAACAGAGAATGAAACAAGTTGCCAATCCTCGTGACATTGTTTAATTTGTGCTTCCACAAGTGAGGAAAGCCTCAATATTTTAAGCACTAACCTAACCAATCTTGTAATGAATAATATTAGGCTAATCCTCCATAGTTGAAAAATATAGACTACAAAGATCCATAGATTTAGACAAAACAAACTTTTCTTTTAATTGAATTCCCATGCAAAATAGATCTTGTTAATAGAAGGAATCCTTTTTAGCCAGGAGTGCAATAAAATGCTTCAGAACTTGGAAAAATATATTTTGGCTGAGATAATCCATACATCAAAATTCATGAAAAGAATTTGGCATTTATATATTAGTTACAAAAATTAATAGAGTTGGCAAGGGCATGGGATGCAGAAAACAATCCACCTTACACACTTGCTTCCTAAACAATAAATTTGAGAAGTGTCAGTTGAGCTAAAGATCAGTCAATCTATATTTGGTTAGCCAATTTTCACGTCATTTCTTCTCATGAGTTTTGCAGACTGCAAGTGAGATGGACGAAAGTTTCTTTGCTACAAGGGATTGTCAAAGCACCCATAGGGTGATCGAAACCAAACTCTTCTTCGGCTTGACTCAGCAAATTCAGAAATGAAAGATGCTTCTTCTTTTCAGCTTCTCCAACAGAAACAGCAAAGTGGCCTTAGGCAACATTGTTGTGTCGGAAGATGAAAGTGTCCGTTTTAGGCTCCTCTTTGCATTAGCAATTCTCAGCAAGTGGAAACCCATGACTGTTTTGAATTGTGATTGTTTTTCTTACAAGTACTGGACTGGCTAGGAATGGCTTAGGCAATTGGCAGAGGTGGCTGGCTATCCATTAGAATTTGTATTTATAGAGAAGCATATGATTTATGGTCATTGGTAAGCAACCTCAGGCAAATTGAGTGGTGAGGACTGAAGAGAGAGTGCTCTAGAGTTATATTGTGAGGAATCATATGGCCTTGTGTCCCAACAATAATAACATCTTTTGACAAGTATGTACATTAGTCTATCCTGTTGTATAGCTCACCATTCAATGTAACCAACATTAATGGCCCATTTTAGATACTATTTACCATTCATCCATTGCCAGATGATAATGACTTGGCAGATTATATGGGTGAATATCATGGGTTAAAATAATCGTATCCACTAGCGACTATGAGTCGGTATTCAAAGCTGAGACCTGCTTGTACAGTTTGTTCTGTACGAATCTGTTGAACACAAGATGATGCAAGTTAGATGATCTGAGGAAACTTTGGTGGGTGAAATTTGGATTTTAAGGGATGATAGGTTGAAAACAAACACTAAAACATTCTTGTGATGATGTTACGCCAATTAGTTGATCCTGTGAAAGTTAGCTCTTGAACCACCATGAGTATCGGTAACTGAAATCAAAGCACAAGTCAACCATCAAGTAATTCTAACGTGCAAACCCCTATTTGGTGCTGAAGTGTCTCGATACATGGCATATTCATAGTTTCCTAGCTAACCAAAAGATTTCTTGGACACAACAAACCATGGATGAGGAGACGAGAGAAAACGAAAGATGATGGAATTCTATTATTCTGTACACACGAAACAAATATCAGAGTTTGTATCATATCTGTAAGTGTAGTAAGTCTTGACTTAATTGATTTTCATCTGTTTAGAAGTTAATGGGGGATCTTGAGATGTATGTATAAAGCTTTGGATAACAGGTAAAAAAGATTTTCTGTATAGCAATACTTGGCATTGTTGTATTGATATTCTAAAGTTTCTTTAACCGGTAAATGACAGTGATTTAAGTGTTCAAGATAGGGTCTCACTTTTAAGGTCGACATGTATCATGAATCACATGGATGTCTTCCGCTAGCTATATTGGTAAGATTCCACGGATATGCTAAATGCTAATATAACTTTTGCAATAATTGTTATAATATCGGGACGATGATTATCGGCAAACAAATAAACACGATCGAAAAGGAAAAACAAAGAACACCAGGATTTACGTGGAAAACTCAAAAGGGAAAAATCACTGACAGATGAGAAGAATTTCACTAATATGAAAGAAGAAAATACAAGAGAATTTTGGTGAAAGAAAAACTTGATTCGACCCTTAGTATCTATTTATAGGGATAGATATTTGATTACAAAGAAAAACTAAATAAAATAGAAATATACTTTAATAAAGTTTTCTACTTTTAACCAAACTGAATTTTTTATTTTCCCAATATTTATATATTAATTAATTTTGTCACTTTGAATTCGAGTCAAACTCTAACAAATATCTACCTTGATACAAATTCTGAAAGTGCAAAGGTTTCAAGACAGAACATTCAAATTCGATGTGACACCTAAACTCAACAAAAAAAAATTCTTCACTTCAACGAACAAGTTCTCCCCCTCTTTCACAACACCCCTTAAAGGGATAATCTTTAGTAATGGATATCGATCAAGTCCAAGCTTTTTCTAGGCTTGGATTTAGTCTTCACATCGACATAGTTATCATAAGTGTCAACTTTGCTCACAAATATTTAACCACGAGCAATATCATGCACAACACGATCCCAATCATCAATGATAGTTCTATCTTCAAATTCATTATGTTCACGAAATTGAACTCTTTTCTGCTTCACATAATCGTTCTGCCCACGGTTATTTTGTTCAATAGCGATATTCGACACGGTGGATGAAACACCAATTGCATTATCTAAACTTGTTGAACCCTGTAGAACATAAAACTTAGTAGTCTTTCTCTGCCCTTTCAACACAATAAGAGAGTCCTTGCAAATTTTCATAGCTCCACATTCACTAGAGAATTTGTACCCTTTTGAATTTAGAGTACTTAACAAAATTTGATACCACTAAATGTAACCCCCTCAAATCGATGCGGGTGACCCGATCCGATCTAAGGTGTCACATTAGGGCCACCAGAGAAACCCACCGTAAAAATAGCGGAAAAATAATGTTTTTATTAAAATATGTAAAATCATAAAATCATTCATAAATACTAAAGTAAAATTTTACCAATGTTCTAAAATAGATTTCCAGACTCAGATATAAAAACAAAATACAACCTACATGCCCCCTCCTAATCACATGTATCATATTCTGCAAATAACGCCAGAGAAACTCCCTTACTGATGTCGAAAGCTACACTGGTACGATTCTTTTAACCTGTAATGGTGAGTAACAAAGTGAGCTTTGGAAAACTCAGTAATACAGAACTACCAGATGATGTTGAAGAACGTGCAGATAACAGATAAGCATATATTTCCTTATTGGTTCAAACATCTACAGATTTTTAGGCTGAGCTGAGGTCTCACTGATATCTCAGGTAGTAACAGACAGTAAGCTTTCAGTTCGGATGGAAATATTTCGGATGTCTGGGTTTAGGAGATCAGAATAGGTTGTCTAGTGTGTTCCCATAAAACCATTGAAAATGTCAAGATCCTTTTTAAAACAGTAACAATTTAAAACGTATTTTTCAAAAAACCATAGTAGTCCCTCCAACTGAACGCTAATATGCAGTTCCCAGAACTGCATCCATAAGGACTTACCCTAGGCCCCAAAAGAGCGTAGGTGTCAACCTAAGGGAGCACCTTGGGTCCATAAGGTTTTACCCTAGCCGAAGCATAGGTGCCCACCTAAGGAGAGTGCCCTCAAGCCCATAAGGACTTACCCAATGCACATAGCAGAGGAGCCACCCTAAGGGAGTGCCTTAGGGTCCATAAGATCTTACCACTAGGCCCATTAGGCCAAGAAGCCCACCCAAGAGTCGCCTTAGGTCCATAAGGAATTACCAGTCGGTGCAGAACCTATAAAAGGAATTAACTGCAGCGGCTGAACCTGTCAGAGTCTTCATACCAGATCTCAGAGTATCCCAAATAAAACATTTTCATTCAATAATCAGAGATATCATAAATCAGAACAGATATCAGAAATCATAACAGAGATCAGAAATCAAAATAGAGATCATAATATAAATCAAAGAAAACATCATGGTGATAAGGGAACACACTAGAGGTTTCAGATATTATTTGGAGATACTGGATAATCTCTCAAATCTGGTATATGTCTCACATTACCAAGTGTTTGAACAATCTCATCGAACATCTTAATCTTGATTGTGTCAATACCTGTAGAAACAACTTCATACGTCGCAAACCAGTCACGATTAGGATTCATATGAAAACTACTACCATAGTCAAGTATTCACTCATCACTTGTTATAAAGTTGTAGTCAGTCGCAACTAGGAGTTCTTCGTCATTGTACTCTTATACTATACCTACCTCACCAGATTTCCTAGAGTTATGCTCTTCAGCTTCTCTTTTGATTTTATTTTGCAACTTGTAACACTCCGATTTAACATGACCTTCCTTTTTACAATAGTGACAAGTTTTATCTTGGTTGGAAGATTTTGATCTACCCTTCCAATATTATCAGAAGAACGCTTGCTTTTTCTCCCACTGTTTGAGCTAGTCAATTCATGCATCACAGGACCATCTGCTTAGGGCTCGGAACCAGATACAAGATATTTCATCTTGTCAAATGAGTGCATGCCATCGTAAATTCTTCAAGAGTGAGTGTTTTGTGACTGTACAAAAATTGTATCTCTGAAAGACGAGTAGGAAGGAGGCAACGAACATAGGAGGATCAA